TCCTTGGAGGGAGATATTGAAGATCTACAGTGCACTTGACTGATTTCTGTAACTCCTTGCTAGGCATCAGACAGGTGCGCCGTTGTACTTAATTTGATACAGTATTTGTGGATCATTTCTTTCCGACGTCGGTTCCCTCTGGTGGGGGAAAGTTCCTACGTGGTTTTCCTGGGGGAGGAAGGGAGTGATCTGACAGACAGCCGACTGTCAGAGAGGCACTTGCTGTTAGTTCAAGGTCTACGGTGAGCGCTACCTGCCCTAGCACAGCTGGCCTTGGGCAAAATAGATACTGATTAAGTATTGGCTAGTATTTACCCTCGAGGAGCACTTCTGCAAGTAGCTCATGCTAATCACGGCCTTGTCTTTCATTCTCAAATCTATACACTAGACCCAGGTATTTTGCCCATATTTCCACCTACTCCCCGGTTTTCTGCTTAGAGCTTGCCACCTCAAATCCGTACTTCTGCACCAAATTCTACCGCTTCCCAACTCCTAAGTCTTTCTACCCCTGTGGTCTCATCATTCTCCCAGCCGCCTGGGATGCCTTCCTCCTCTGAAGCCTCAAAATCCGGTCAGTATCTGCTTCAGAAACCTGCATTTCCATGCCGCAGCGCTGTTTAGCTTTCTTACTACTGACACTACCTCTCCCAATCCTTTCTGAACTGTGGATCTCCCAGCACAAAATATTTTCACTGCTCACTTTAAGCATCACCCAAGCTCTCCCATCTGGCTCTCAAGACCCTCTACAGTCCACCCTATCCCACCCAACACTTTCTCCTCCTTTCCTTTGCAGGCTCTCTTTCTAATCCGCTGATTGTCCTCTCATGAATTCTAGCCTCTACACCTTTGCTCAGCTGTTCCCCTCTTCTCTACATGGATTAGTCAGGACACTTTCTGCTGTAAGTGACAGGAGCCCCAACTCAAAATGACTTATGCAAAAAAGGACTTATGGCCTCAGAGTCTCCATATGGGCTGCACTTTCTGCCCCACGTGAGACCCCAGAAACTCCAGGCTCACAGCTCCAAGTCCAGCAGAAAAGACCAGCTTCTCTTTGCCAACCATTCCAACAAGCGTTGGCCTTGACTCTAATTGGCAGAACTGAGCCAACATGAGTCAGAATTGACTCAACAGCAGTTGGTTGGTTTGTTTTGCTTTGTCTACCCTGTTTTCTCTGCCATCGCGACTCCATGATGGGCCAGCTCCCTTTCTCTCAGCTGCCTTCTCATCCCCCACAGGGAATATGTGGACACTTCTGGATGGAGCTAAAGGTGATTCTGGGGGCACCGTCTCCCACAAGATGTGCCACACCACCATTTCACTTTCCTGCTGCCCTCCTGTGTTGGCACAGACCAGCCATTGGGTGTGGAATTCTAAACAGGAAGTGGAACACGCCCTCTCTGCTTTTAGCTTCCTCCTCAATCTGTCTGGGATTTCTGTCTTTGTACCATACCCTTCTCTAGATTAAGACCTGGTGCAGGGGAGTGGCTTCCAGACCCTCAGGGAAGCAGGCATCATAGTATCCCTAGACTCATTCCCTCCAGTTTCTTTCCCTTACATTCCCTGAGGGCTTCTATGTCCCCTTTCATCTGTAGAAGGTGTCCTTCTTCTCTTCCTGTGGTCCTCTTGGTTCTGAGTGGTGCCCACCCTTTCCTGCCTCTGGGGTAATAATACCTCAAAGCTAAGCCTTGAAAGAGAAAGTGGCTACAAGGAAAGGAAAAGGTTCTTACAGACCATTACCGCCAGTAAATCTCTTTCCCTTGTAGTTGCTGAGGAGGTAGAGTGTTGGCCTGAAGCATCTGGTGACCATCTGGCCAGCACCTGAGGAGATCGTGCTGACAGAGGAAAGCAACGTTGAGAGATAGAGAGGTAGCTTTCTGTCATGCCGGAAACTGATATACCACTGGATCTTTCAAGCACATGTTCCAATAAATCCTCCCACTTCCCCCAAACAAATTAGAATTGGATTTTTCTGTCACAATCAAAAGAGGCCTGACTAGTACAAGCCCCTAGCACAGTGCCTGGCACATTGGTTCACACAAAACAGTAACTATCATCAACGTTGTTCATCTGATAGAGGAGTAAGCTATGCCCACTGATGACCGTAAAACAGACAAAATGAAGACGTGAAATGCCATTAGCTCATACTCTTCTCCTTCCCTCTAATCCCCAGCTTGCTCCTTTGTCTTTTCCACACACACTTCTGGCCCCAGAGAAACTCTCAATATTCATTGAAAACTAAGCCCATCCACCTTATAAAAATAGGCTCAGCCAAGTCATGAATATTCTGCAAGGCACCATTTGTTGCCATTGTACACAAGCAATTCCTGCCTAGATTGTGAGCAGCTAGGAGCAGGTGCTCATCTTCAATTCAGTTTCAATGCACTGAACGAAAATTGAGCAAATATTTACACAGCCACCTTTGTCCTGAGATGCAAATTTAGAGAAACAATGGGCTCCTGCCCCAGCCCTAAAGGGACTTTACTATGAGTGACGACAAATAGCCTAGGAGAGAGAC